AATAGTGATTATAATGATGTTGATGATTACTCCTTTCATATTAATAGCGTTCGGTGGAGACAAAGTCGACGATATCTGCAAAGAACTGATAAGTCACGGCTTTAATTATGCTGGAAAAGATTACGTTACTTCCGGTATTACYGGGGAACCACTRAGTGCCTATATATTCTTTGGTCCTGTGTATTATCAGAAACTTAAGCACATGGTACTCGACAAGATGCATGCTAGGTCTAAGGTATTTCTTAGTAATACTCGATTCTTGTTTTCAATTTGTATTKGTAAATTTGATGGGTTTGTTTCTAGGGACCACGTGCGGTTCTGACCAGGCAGCCCACCGAGGGAAGATCGAGGTGAACGCGTATTTATTCAATTATGGATCGTACCTCCCTCCCTTTTCCCCTCCTCCCTCCCTCTCTGCTTACATGTACCTCTCCCCCTCCTCCCTCCCTCTCTACTTACATGTACCTCGCTCCCCCTCCATCCCTCCTCCTTCGTCCCTCCCTCCTTCATTCCTCCCTCCTTCCCTCCCTCCATTCTCTCTTTCATCTGTCCCCCCTTTCTTTCTCGCTCCCTCACACTCTTTCTCCTCTATTACCTCCCTCCCTCCTCCTCCCTCTCTGCTTACATCTCTCCCCCCTCCCTGGCTCCCTCCATCATTCATCCTTCATCCATCCTCCTTCATTCCTCCCTCCTTCGTCCCTTCTTCCCTTCATCCCGTCCTCCCTCCATTCTTCCTTTTCTTTGTTCCTCTTTCTTTCTCCCTCCCTCCTTCCCTCTCTTTTTCTCATAGTACCTCCCCTCCACCCTCCCTCTCTACTTACCTCCCTCCTTCGTCTTTGTCCCCCCTTCCCTTCCTTACAACCTCTTWACACATTTCCCTCATTMTTTCATTCCTTCTTCTTTGTGTCCTTGAAATGGTTTTTGATCATTAAAGAAGTTCTAATAAGTATATTTGATGGTTCAGAGATGGWGGTCTTCGTCTTGGTGAAATGGAAAGAGATTGTCTCATAGCTTACGGCGCTAGGTGAGGCACAGGTTTAAACTTGAAATAGAAAAAGGACATGGCTAAGTTTTGAATGTCTTTTTCAGTATGCTGCTTCTTGAACGGCTCATGATWTCAAGTGATGCTTTTGAAGTAGATGTTTGTGGAGAATGCGGTCTCCTAGGATATTCCGGATGGTAAGGAAAATGATTCCTGACAACTGTCTCTCGTTGACTTCTTTTTGATTGTAAACTTTACTAAATTCTTTATTCTGTTATTAGGTGTCATTTCTGTAAATCCTCACACAACATAGCGACATTAAAGATACCTTATGCCTGCAAACTACTATTCCAAGAACTCCAATCAATGAACATAATACCAAGACTATCATTAAAGCACTACACTGATGACTGAACACTTTATACATCGAAACTAAACATACAAAGAATACGAGTGATAATGACGATGTTTGAAGA